CCAAACATTCCTCCCCAACCGTTTGTCAAAGGAGCCCTCTGGAGGCCACTTTACACCAAAAGACGGCCACTTGACTTCACACAATGTTCTTAGTCTGCCTGGAGAAAACTTTATGCCATAGTCAGCTCCTTCTACAAACCCTTCTTTGAAATGTCACAGGAGACAACCCAAGGGTGTCTTTTGTGAACTCGGGCTTCCCCGCATCGCTTGCGCAGAAAACACAAAACAGACACTCAGACAAGAACAATTACTGGGATGTAGGTGGACCAGAGAAGTCCACCACCTACAACCTAGACAAGACCAAAGACAATAGACAAAACCTGAAAACAGGGCACAGGAGGTGGCGTCCCGCGGCCTGGCCATGGTCCGGGAGATATGACTGCATCCAGTCTCTCCATGGACCCCGGTGACTGGTCAACAGAAAAGCAACAGAAAGGTACCTTTTATCCAGACGTTGAGGCCTTGGAGATTCCCGTCGGGACCAGGAACAAAGAGTGTGTCCTAAAGGTTGCTTTCTTGACGATTGTACTGACCCCGTCATGGCATTCGAGGGCCATTGAACGTCTCAGGTTGGCCACCCCTTTGAATCCGCAACAGGGACAGCAACTGCTTCGGAGGCCGGTCCGGTCTTAGATCCCAGGGCCACTCCCTGAGATGTCGCTAGGGCCTCCAAATGTTGTAGCCGCCAGCCCCTGAAAGACACATGGACCACCAGAACTCAGTGAGTTATAGGAAACACACTCTTTATTCAGCCAGCTGGGTCTGCCAGGGGTACGCAGACCCCAAATTAAGCAGCCCCGAAATGTAGAGGTACGGGTTTTTAAGCCCTAAATCCCATTCCTCATTCTGTCTTAAACACAAAGGTCTATTTTTCTCCTATTCACTACCTGTCAACCTACAGGTCAGGTGTGCAAGCGGGGGTACAGAAGCAGAAAGCTTGTTAGAATGTTATATGTTCCCATGAGTGATAGCCAAGCAGTAATCTTCCAGCCAGCACACTGTGAGCCCCTCGGGTCTTGCATATCTCTGTACTTAAGAGCCTAGCACAGAGCTGGGACACACATAGGTTCTCTTGAATCAAACCTATTTGGATCCTAAGCCCTGACACAGCTTTTCCTGGTGATTGGGGAATTCCTTGAGGGTCGTAGATTACCTTTCATCCAGCACAGTTGGGAGAAAGGATCTCAATATGCCCCTGTCATTTTTTACAACAAATTTAAAGTGACAGAGTAAGAAAACCAGGATGCTCTTTTATCCTCACTTCCCATTTTTTTTTGGTCCCTTCCAGGCTCCTCCCTCCTAGAATGAGGAGCCTAGGCTGAGTCCTACTCCCCTTCTCCCTTCCCCAATTGCGGAGTCCCAGAGCTTTGCCCTTAGACACTTCGCCCTTCACTCCATGGCGCACTTGCAGCCCCAGCTGAGTACCAGTGCGACCTGCTTCCCGTGAGTCTCTGCTGCTCCCTGCGACTCCGGCGCGCGTGCTCCCTACCCCAGCAGTCCTCGCGCGGCTCGACAGAGCGGACACCCCGGACTCTAAGATGGCGTCAGTTGGTGAGTACCCGGACCCGTTTAGGGCCGCCAGGTTGGAAGCAGGACCCGCGGTCCAGGATCTGGGCTCAGAGACGCATTGGGAGGCTAGGGAGCTACGGAGCCGCCTGCCTTTCGCTCAAGGCCCTTCATCGCGACCTTACCCGAGTCTCACCGGACCCTTTGCCCGGGGTCCTGCGCCGTCCGACCCTTCTCTACTCTGGGTATCGTCGCTAGGCGGTGGTGGGGAGGGTGAGGACAGCCGGGCAATGCGCCTTCGGGCTTGGGAATGCGCTGCCTCGGGACTCCCTTCTCCCTGTTAAGGAATAAGCTAGCTGCTCTAGTCCCGGCCGCGACCCAAGCAGTTTGCACTTGAACCCTACGCTCTAATTCTATCCTTCCCAAAGCTGAAGCTCAGATTAAGCTCCAAGAGACGCTAATGCCTAGGACAATACCTGACATCATGAAAGGTTCGACGCGTATATGTTGACAATGCGCTGAGAAGGCTTTAAAAGGTGAAGTGACTTATTCAAGGTCACAACTAGTGAGAAGGCTGAGCTGGAATTCACACCTAGGAGTTTGGGGCCTCGTGGTAAACTGAATTTGAAGCACAAGGATGATCTTACGACCAGCGGGCTTTTGGTGATGTGTGTGTAAATCCTTACACGTCTGAGTGTGCACACACTTTTTTTTTTTTTTTAAGTACGGAAACTATGTATTAGTCCTAGATTCTCACATTAGCTTTGTCAGGAAGTCAGTACTGGGAGTGTTGTTTCTTTTTTAAAGATGAGGAAAATGGTCAGAGATGTATGGCCTGCTGGAGATCACACTCTGCATGATAGCAGCAGAGTTTTGATTGACATAAGCGCGTCTTATGCCAGTTTCTGTATTCTTAATCTCAGCTTGGAGCAATAAAGAGGGGATCAGAAAAGATGAGAATGATGCTATTTTTCCTATCTGTAAAAAACAGGCATGAAAAACAGGTGGTTGTGTTGTTTAAACAAGACAGCATGTGAAAAGGAAACAGTAGACTTGGCATCTTATTTAAGCAAAGGGTTGTGAAGAGCACTATGGACAAAGGATTTAATGACTTAGTACATGTAAGGTATTTGGAACGCTGTGTGGCCCAAGGGTGAGTGCTGGTCATCTCAGCTTTCACTCTGACCTTTGGGCATGGTTGTGTCACATCTGGCCCATTCAGCATCACCCTAGGTGAAGGAATTGGAGTCCAAGTCTTAAGTACTGATGATCTTTTAGTTGGTGTCTGTTGCCAGAGTATAAAACCCCTAGTTCATTAGCAAGTGAATTGATGGAAATATGAATTAATAGTAGATGAAATCAGGGCTTGGCAAACTATTGTCAATAAGCTGGATTTCCTGCGGCCTGTTTTTGTATGGCCTGTGAACGGAGGATCGTTTTTATGTTTTTAAAAAATTTGTTAAAAAAAAAAAAGACTGTTAAAGAGACCATGTGTGACCTGCAAAACCTAAACTCTTTACTCTCTGCCAACCCTTAGGTTGGATTTAGCACCCAGAAGACACTTGGCATTTCCATGCCTCTTCATATAAGTAGATGCTTCTTGAAGTCATAAAATTAGGCCATACCTGTGGTCCTTCCATAGTCTTAACTGAAAGTCTGTCATGGCTAGGAACTGTGTGTATGGATACTTCCACCTTCAGATAGCTCATAGTCAGGCAGAAAGACAAGTAATAATAATAATTCCCATTTACACAGTACTTAGAGCCAAGTACCAATGTGGGTTTAATTCTTACTCTTATTTTACAAAGGAGGAAACTGAAGCACAGAGAAGGCAGTAACTTGCCCAAAGGCACACAGCTACAAAGAGGCACAAAATCCAGAATACTTGACCCTAGAATCTATTCTATTATCATCATTCTGTACTGGTGACTGCTGAGGGGTGTTCAGTGCTGCAGAGGAGTATTGGAGGGTTCTGGTATGGCTGCCAAGGACTGAGGCCTTTGTCTTCCACTAAAAGGGAAATTCTTGGAATGAGTGTAGATGTATCTTTAATGAATTTGATTACCCCTTGGAGTTTTGTGAAGGTGCTATACTTGATTTCTTTAAGGCTAATGTGATTTTTTTCTGTGCTTGTAAATTTCTTAGTTTTGGTTAAGGAAACCATCTTGTCTTCATAGTACAGAGATCTAAATATGTAGAAAATAAATTTTAAATTGTTGGCTTTTTTTCTCTTGTGATGTGCCAGGGCACCATGCCAGCCCCTGAATGTGGTCATGAGAATGCAGAATGTGTTTTCGTAGTTTGTGTGAATGTGAAAAAAAAATAGCTTCAGAAGCTGGCTCAGAAGTGGCATGATTTTTTGTTTTTGAGTCACCAGCCTTATACCAGTCAAAAATAATTTGATTTAAAATACTGGGTTTGTGGTTTTTTTGCACATTTACCCAAACATAGTTCTATTTTTAAAAGCAGTTTTAAACTTTTTATTACGGAAAATTTCAAATAAAAAGGAAACAGAATAATGTAATGAGTGCTTTGTACTCATCACCTATTGTCAACAGCAAAATTCTGCCATTCTAGTTCCATCTATACCTTCATCATCCACTCTCTACCACAAAGCCTGAGCTGGTTTTAGAATGACATGTTTGTGCACCTCACTGCATGCAAGATGCTTTGAGAGCAGCAAAGGAATGGACTATGTTCTTATTCAAAAAGAAGTGTGGTATAGTAATCCTTGGACTAAAAGCCTACCAATCCAAATGAAGACAAACCTGAGCTGTAAGGTGTATACTTGTTAAACTTTTCTAGAAATAGCATAGGCAAGGTTACAGAGAAAGGTGTAGGTCATTTTTGGATGACATTGTTTGCTAAACTTTCCAACAGAGATTTGGAACATATCCTAAAATTCATTGGAGACTATCTCACATTTCAAAAATATTACCGAACTAATTACAGTTTTCTGTTTGTAAAAGAACTGAAAGGTGACATTAATCCCTAAAGTCCTATGTGGTTAAAATGTACTAAAGTTTAGTTTATATGCCATTTTTTTCTACCTTTTTTTTTTTTTATAAATGTTTCATGTAGACCTTAATGAAATTTCAATAACAACTATTTACAGTTCTGAGCACTGTCTCAAAAGTTTTTCTGTGGATTCCCATTCAGTACTTGGACTAAACCATTTTACAGATGAGAAAATGAGTTCAGAAATTATATAGAAAAGAAGGCTAGCACTTAAGATAAAGCAGGGAGGGAAGGAGGCCTTTTAGGAGAAGACATGTCCTTTGAGATAGCCTTCTGAGAAGCATGGGCACTGCAAAGGCCCTCAGGTGACATAAGAGAAACAGAAAGGGCTTTGGCCGAAGTGTGGTGAGCCTGCATAGATGAATGGATATGAGATGGTTGTCTTTCCTGATAGAATGTTGGCTCCTGAGAGCAAGGCTCTCATCTGCAGTCAGTGCTGTATCCACAGTGCTCGGTGCGCTGCATAGCATATCATAGGTGCTCCATATTTGTTGGAAGAATCTATATGGAAGGTTGGGGCAGTTTGTTTGGGACAGGCAGCCTATACTGTAACCCTAAAGCCATGTATGCAAGTCAGGCTTATGCCTCCATCTGTCACTTATGGCCTCTTGACAAGCACTCAATCTGGTCCACGAAGGCCAAGCGTCTGGTTCTCCAGATGACCTGTAGCAGATTAGAAGCTGCTGTGAAGCTTTGTAGTTCTCTTTATAGCCTGACAGCTCTTGCCCTTGTTAAGGGTTGAGAGATTTCAGGAAACCTGTGGGATTCCCCTCAGTGGACTCTTGAGGCTGGTCCTTAAGAAGCAAGCCTTAGTCTTTCCTTGGATTCCCAAAATGGAGAAGAAACCTTATTTAGTTTGGCTCCTCCTGTGGTTGGTCATCTTTAAGAAGGGATAGTAGTCTTTAACTCCTTACTCTGAAGAGGACACCTGCTAAGCAGCTTTTTAAAGTCGACCTTTGCGCAGAGCACAGGGGAAGGGAGTCTGTTCCCTCCTTATGAGTATCTGGACACTTACGGGTTTGCCTCCTTCCAGGCCTTCCCTGGTCTCCTTCCTGTTTTACTCTTAAGCCCACAGATGAGTACAGTATGGCCTCAACCAGGAGTCCTTCCTGTCCTTTTCCAACTCTAAAATATCATCTGGGATGCATTGGGTCATTCGGAGTTGTTTACTGTATTTGACATCTGTAGTGCCAGATAGGATGCTTGAAGTAGAAATCAGATTAGCTTTAGGAATATGAGGACCAGACCTGAGGTTGGGTCCTGACTTCACTGCTTGCATGCTCTGTGACCTTGGCCAAGTTGTCCAACTTCTGTGAGTCAGCCCTCCCACCTTATAAAAAGTAAAGGTATCAACTACGTGCTTTGAAGATTAAATGAGCTAATATATATAAATAGTAGTTTTGCAGTACTCTTTCTGTTCTGTCCTCTATTACATTCTTCCTCATGGCCCTTAGGTTTTTTACATAGTTATACCCTATGAAGCAATGTTATTCAAAATCCTGTTTATTAATACACCTTCACTGTAGCAATTCTACAATTATATAGATTCTGGCTTAAAATAGTGATTTTGGTGTGGGATATTTATTCATATTACTACTTATGTGCAGCCTCTATGTAGTGTTGTTACCAAATGTCCCTTTATTGAATGATTGAAATAAGGGACATAAAAGGATGCTATTTGTATTTTTGGGATATTTTTCAGTGTGTGAATTTTTGCTTTTCCTTTTCAGTACCATTGAGGGAGAAGAAACTCATGGATGTCAAATTAGGGGAGCTGTCAAGCTGGATACTGATGCGGGATTTTACCCCTAAAGGCATTGCTGGAGCGTTTCAAAGAGGTCAGAGCCTTATAGACTTGTGTAAACAATAGCAAGTCTCTGAGTCTTTAGGTTAGTTTTTGCCCTGAATGAATTTGGGTAGTAAAGGCCTTGTCTCAGACCAGTAAGTTATATAGAGGACAGGGTGAGATTGTTAGCCCTTGGATTTCCATGTTTGATTGTTCTTGTCAAAGGCTGGCTCTGAGATATGTCAGCCAAGGAAATGTTTTCTATTGCTTGGAATCAGTACCACTGCCTTCATCTTAAAGAAATGTCTATGAGCATTTTTACAACATAAGACTTCTTTAGGAGGAAAATGAGTTTGAAGCATAGTGGACATCAGTCTATATAATATAATGCTCATCTCCCTGCCAGGCAAAACTTCCACAATGAACATTTGAAATGGTCTTTCAGGTCTGTGCATTTTAAAGTGTACGGCTAGTCAGATCAGTCCTGTGGCACCCATGTCATCATTCTAGGAATAAAGACCCAGATCATTTCATGGTCTGTGAGGTCTCCAGCCTCCTCAGGGGCTCCCCTCATTTTTCTAATTCTAGCCACCCTGTGTTTACCTTTTCTGTGCCTGTTTTCTCCTGCAAAGCTTTTCTTCAGCTTTGTCCTCAGATTAGAATACTCTGCCTTTTCTCCACACTTAATTATAATATTCCCTGACTCCTCAGTGGAGGTGAATATGGCCTGTTCATGCTCACAGCTCGATGTAGTGCTCCTTTATGGCATCTCTATTATAAACTATGGCCTTCTGTGTTCATTTCAATCTACTGGGCCCTGAGCACCAAGAGAGCAAATACTGTTTGTTCCTTCATTGGTGGGGGCACCTAGTAAAGAGATGGATGCATGAAGCCTTCCTCCTCCAAGGGCCAGGCTGAACCAACTGGCCACAACCAAGTGGCCCTTATTGGGGTTGGATTTTTGATCAGAATTAGAGTAAGGGGATCCCCAGGGCTGGAGGTGACAGTGAGGTAATGTGCTGAGCCAAGTCTGAGCTCAAGGCCAAAGGGTAGGGGCAGAATCAAGCTGGAGCTTGTCCTGGGCTCACGGGAGGCTCAAGACTCTGTGGGGCATTTGTAGTTTTCCCTTTATCAGCTGGCAAATGTAGGGTGAGTGGCTTAGAGAGCCAGTGTAGGACTAGGTCCCTGAATTTCAACCAGACTCTATTTGGCACTGTGTAAAGCATTCACAGCAAAACAGGGCAGTGACCTCCTCTCCTGTTCGCAGGTTATTACCGGTATTACAACAAGTATGTCAATGTGAAGAAAGGGAGCATCGCTGGGGTTTCTATGGTGCTGGCAGCTTATGTGCTTTTCAACTACTGCCGTTCTTACAAGGAACTCAGTGAGTGTCTCTTGGATTGTCTTGCCTTCAGTGGGGTTTCCCATGAGGGTGGCAGTGGTTCACTCTGATTTAGAAGTCCATCAGTCTATTGACAGCTGAAGAACTGGAGGAACTTGTCAGAATATAGTATGTAGACATTGAGAAAATTGTAGCAGAGATAATAAAGACAGGAAAAATAAGATGAAGCTGGGGTAAAGGTGATACTTAGGAAGCATACTGTAATATACTGCAGGCTCTGTGCAAGGTTGATGAAAATTTTGGCTTCATCTTCCTAGCAGCCAATGCAGAGAGAAGTAGGTTGAATAGTACAATCCGGTGTGTGTGCAGTACTCTGGAAAAGCGTAGCTGTTCTTGGTTCTGAGACCCAAGAGCTGTCTGGTGGGAGATGGTGGGAAGTGTCACTGGCAGCCACTGACTGGGTTTCATGGGCTGTTTCTGACAGCATCCAGCCCCCTGCCAGTCTGTGACATCGGGGGTGACTGGCTTTGAAGGACTAAAGGATGAGTTCTTGGGGGCTGTCTGGTGGGTGCTCCTTCTGGGAAGGAAGAGGCTGGCCAAGTAGCAGATGAACACCTGAGATACCTTCACTACCCTAGGTTTGCCGATTCCAGAAATGTTGGCAGGCAGGTTCTGAGTCATTTCCTGAAAGGAATTCTCAGGATGGCTTTATGTGATTTTAGCCTGCTGCTCTGTCATCTTGTGCTTCCGCTGTACCTTTTAAGAACTGTACCTTTTTGCTTTTCTAACTTCAGAACATGAGCGACGACGCAAGTACCACTGAAGAGGGCCCAGTGTGGAGGGCTCACTCTGCATTCCTGACCACCTTTGCCCAGCACTTCTGAATCCTTTCATACTCTAATTAACACCTAATAAAAGATGACTGGTCCTGGGCTGCTTTACTGCTTTAGCCATTTTTCTGTACTTCCAGGAGCTCTGAGAGGAGGGGTGGGATGAGATTACTCTACCACTCCCAAAGGGAGACAGTCACAGACAGACAGTCCAGGGCTTTGAGCCACGAAGCCATGATGGGCCCCCTACACCACCACGTTGGAATCTTGTCACAGCTCACTAGGGCGCTAGGTGTCACCTAGCACTACCCTGTCAGGTATTTCCTTACTCTTGGCCTTTTGTCAGCTGACACTTCTACAGTATTAAGCAGAAGCTCCATGTTCCTATGAATGCCTCCCCTCCCCCATCTTTCTGCATTCCCAGGGGGTATGTGCCACCAGGAAGCTCAGAGGCATGAACAAGGAGAGGGGAAAGCACAGGCACTGATAGCTAGTGCACAACTGCCCCTGTAACCAGCACTTTTCCTTACCTTTCATGAAAGGTCTTGAGTAAAGTGACATGGAGGCCAGAACTGGTTTCTTGTTAAGGGATGCATGGTGAGCCTATATACTGCATGGAGTATAAGGGGGTGAGATGCTGTGGCTAATTATCTCCTAGAAGACCTGAATTTGAATAAATAAGTATCACCCAACATTTGGGATGCCAAGGAGACCTGCCAGGCAGCTATTCCAAAGACCAAGCTTCCAGACGGTTCCAGCTGCTGATATATAAAAGGCCTTTCTTTCACTGGCAGCTTCACTTCACTTCTAGAGATTCACAATTGTTGAAAGGGGATAAGTGGGCACCAATATCAAAGTTTTGTGCCAGGCAGCTAGTGCAGCCAGTAGCAAGATCCTTTCCTTCGCATGGAGTCCCTGAAGTAATGAGACACAGCTTAAAAAACAAGCTTTAATCAACTTCATAAAAATTGTTCTTGTAATTGAACTTGGATAGGCCCACTTGCCCAGCAGGTTCCAGGTGATGGTTTCACATTTCCAGGCTCAGGGCAGGGTGGTCTCCATAGGCCAAGGGTCTGAGTGACAGTATAGACACTTGATGGAGCAGAGGTAGGTGCACAGATGGACTGCATCATCTATTTGAAGGGTAGTCTGCGGCTCCAGCTTAAGGTATACCTTAAATATTGTCAAGCAAGTTCTCCAAGAAAATAAGCCCAGAGTTAAAAGACCCTCACACTTGAGAGCCCAACACCCCTCCTCTCAATTGCTGCCACGTTGGAGCAGGAAGGACCAAGCTAAGCAACAAGCTCACTTGTTTGCCCTGAAGGACTACCTCATTCAAATCACATTGATAGGCACAGCTTCAATTCAGCAGG